GTTCTACTTTTAAAAATATATATATATATATTATTTTATGTGTACGAGTGTGTTGCCTGCATGTATGTGAGTACACTCGTGTTGTGCAATGCCGTGGAGGTCAGAAGAGGGCTTCAGATTTCCCTGGAACTGGAGCTAAGGACAGTTTGTAGCCACCTTGTGGGTGCTGGGAATCGAACGCAGGTCTTCTGTAAGAGCAGTCAGTGCTCTTAACCACTGAGCCATCTCTCCAGCTCCCCATATTTATATTCTTAAACATCTCTTTTTGGAAGAGTTTGTGGACATCCCTCACCTCCCCCCACCGCAGTGCCACCCCTCCCCTTAACCACAGCTCAGCGTTCTGTCAGCACTTCGTGTCCCTGCCTCATTTAATCCACCCAGTGCCAAGCACGGAAATGTTCAGCAAACAGCCCTGTCGGGAAGAAAAGTCCTAATCGAAGCATTTGCCCCTGAACTCTAGCTGGTTGTCTGGGTGACCAGGTCCCGCTGTGGTCAATTTCATCCCAAGATACTTAACAACCAGCTTACAAAGAGCACCTGGAAATGTAACCACCTGCTTGTGCATGCCAGTACAAGCCAGCTCAGCACATGTCTAAGCCCAGCTAATAGATTTTGAAATGGGTGACCGCATCCCCACTTTCCAGCTGAGAACGTCACAGCTTGGCTGATGTGAAGTTACAAAACACACAGGGGAGCTTCAGCCCTGGGTCCCCACAGGCTGGCTAATCCAGGAGGAAAGAACACTGTTATAAGATGGGTCAGTTGCAATACTCAGTTCTCTGAATTATCCTTGGTATCGTTAAATAACCACAGAGATGAAGCAGAGTGAAACCTAATCCTTTAATCTAACAGAGCCACACCAAAAAGACAGAAAAACATTGTTTATAAAATACTACTGGGGCCATGTCTTCATTTCCTGGAAACGTCTTAAGCCTCCCTGTTCTTGGGGTTCAAGCACTGAGCAGCCAGCAGCGCTTGTAACAAAAATGCCTTAGTCAGATAATCTAGTAACCAGGATCTTATTACACAAATCCAAACAGAGACATTGCAAAACCAGGCAATAAGACCTCCCCATAATGGAAGTGAAAGGCGGCAAAGGCCTGGAGAAACTTCAGTTAGAAACTAAAGAGCTGGGGCAGGCTAGCTGCTTGCCTAGCACCAGGAAGCCCTAAGTTTGATCCCCACCACCACAGAAACTTGGATTAGTGGTTCAAGGTCATGAGTAAAAGTGGTTCAAGTCACACTGGACAACAAGAGACCCTGTTTCAAAAAAAGGTTTTTAAGACACTAAAAAAAATGAATAAATAAAAACTAAACACAAAGTCAGCTGAGTTGTCGCACAATTTTGATCCCAGCAGTAATGAGGCAGATGCAAGCATACGTCTATGAGTTCCAGGCCAGCCTGGTCTACATAGTGAGCTCCTGGCCAGCTGGGACTACAGGGAGACCCTGTCTCAAAAACACCAAAAAACAAACAAAACCTGACTGCAATGCATGGTGCCTAACTGAGCCTTTAATAGCAACAATAAATGTTACAAATGACACAGTCTGCTAAGATGGGGCTCTTGACATGGGTTTCACATTCAGAAAGGGTCAGCAAACTTTGCAGTGAAAGGTCAGGTTAATAAATATTTCGTTTTGCAAGGAATACATCCCAAGTCTCAATTATTCAAGTTTGCTGTCATGCACTGAAGGCCACAGACAATACCGTGAGAACTCAGTTACAAGCCCAGACTAGTGAAGCATACCTGTCCTCCTGCATACTTGGAAGGCTGAGGCAGAAGGATCACTTGAGCCCACTGGTTGAAGACCAGATCGGGCTGGTAGGCTCCAGTGCGCTAACCCTGGATTAATGACCCTGTAACTATGCTGGATTTTCTGAATGCTAACTACATGTGATCCCACATGAAAGTAGCCTTCTTATGAGACACACGTACACAGTAGGGGGGTGCTAGAACATCTGCATTCTAAATGGTTCACAGGCAAAGAGGAGACAGGAATGGGAAATGGGACACAATATTAACTGGTGACTCTAGACGCAAAGTCCACAAATTTTTAACATAGCTCTTTTGCAACATTAAGAGAGGTTTGAAATTCTTAAATAAGTTTTTCAACTGCATGAAACTATAGTATGTGGTCTTGTACTCTGACATTAAGAGGAACCACCATTCATCCTCTCCCACAGTGACCTCCAGGTTACATGCAAACCAGCAGCGTTCTCTCGGCTCCCCCGCGCCCTCCCCCCAGCAGCTGGCATGGTCGAGAGAGAGAGCAGAAGGACCCTACCAGCTGCCTGCCCACGTCACCCTGCTGACCTCTGGTCCAAGCATTGCTGCAGGGTCCGTGATGGTGGACATGACCTCGTTGATCAATTCCATAGGAATGTCCCCGGTCACTCGGGGCTTCTTGGCCTCCTCTGGAGCATGGGGTTCATTTATCTTCCTCTTGTCTCCTGTGATGTTCAGAATGAAAGGTAAACAAATCAGTGATTTGAAATGGAAAACACACACTGATGAATCAAACTTTGGGGGGCGCTCAGACGATCTTGCTACATAGCCCTGGCTCCAAACTTCAAACTGACCGCTTCCTGAATGCTGAAATTACAGGCATATGCCATCACATCCATTGCTCAGCTGATTTTCTTTTTAAAATTTATTTAATTGTCTGTGTATGAGTGCTTTGCCTACATGCATTTAAGTGTGCCTATGTCACGCAATGCCTGCGGAGGTCAGAAGAGGGTGTTAGATCACCTGGAATTGTAGTTACAGATGGGTTGTTAGCCACCATGTGGGTGCTGGGAACTGAACCCAGGTCCTTGAAAGAGCAGCCAGTGCTCTTAACTGCTGAGCCATCTTTTCAGCCCCAAGCACAGGTTTCTTCACCTACAAACAGCTTAGTTCCTGTTATTCATGGAGGATTAGGAGGTCAAGATCATCCTTGGCTACACAGTGAGGTCAAGGCTCTAATACAGTCCTTTGTGGCCACAGATTGTATGGTCCTCATGACCAAGATATCAAAAAAATCTTGAAGCCTGTTTTAATAGCTTAAAATGATATGTTTTTAAAACACAAATGTGCAGAGGCTAGAGTGATGGCTCAGCAGTTAAGAGCACTGACTGCTCTTGCAGAGGACCTGGGTTTGGTTCCCAGCACCCACATGACAGCTAAAAAATCAAGACCTTCATTTATAATTTTGTGTGATTGATCTATGGATTGCTTAGACCTTTAACTATGATTGAATTGATTATTTATAAACTTGCTATACTCCACATACAAACATACATACACAAACACACAGGAGTACATACAAGGATGCATTATGTTTAACATATCTTCATATATATTTGAAAAAATGATAGCAAATTACTACACTTTTTCAGAACCAAACTGGGGCTGAGGACATGGATTGTGGTTAAAGCACTTGCCATGCAAACTGAGGACCACAATTCAGATCCCCAGAATCCATGCAGATGCTGAGCATGCATGGCAGCCCTTCATAACGCCAACACTGGAGAGGTGGAGGTCAGCTATCCCCAGAGCAAGCTGTCTAGCCAGACTAGTCACATCTGCTAGCTCTGGGTTCACATGAGACACCCTGCCTCAAGGAGCAGCGGAGAGCAGTCAAGAAAAGCTCTCAGTGTTAACCTCAGATTTACACACACACACACACACACACACACACACACACAAAGAAAAAAATAGTTTAAAACAAATACTGGAATGGTCCACATTAACATCACAGTATCACAGTGTGTTTTGGTTCGGGGTTCTTTTGCCAGAAAATGATACTTCACAAGTAAGCGAGGACATCCACAGGCTGCAAATGCTCTTTGTCCTCTTCGTGAGAACATGCAGCTTGGTGGCCTTTTCATTTTAAGGGTTTTATGTAGCCCAATGTGGCCTTAAGGTCTGAACTCACTATGTAACCAACAATGATCCTACCTGAGCCTCCAAAGGCTTGGGATGGCAAGGGCACACCACCATGCCCAGCTCACTATGTGTTTTTCTCCTTTCTAGTCTCAAGCTTGGTTTTTCCATGGCTACATTTATTTTATTTATTTATTTATTTATTTATTTATTTATTTTTGTCTTTTTGAGACAGCATTTCCCTGTAGCCCCAGCTGGCCTGGAACTCACTATGTAGGCCAGGCTGCCTCCCAAGTGCTAGTATTAAAAGCGTGCACCACCACACCCAGCTTTCCATGTTTTTTTAACTTTCATAACATGCATTTATGTTTATGACTGGTGTGTGTGTGTGTGTGTGTGTGTGTGTGTGTGTTGTTTTGCTGAGGACAGAATCCAGGACCTTTTGTGTTCTAGGCAAGCACTCTACCACTGAGCCACATGCCCAGTCCTGTAAATAAAGATATTAATAACTGCAAATTTTAATTTTTTTTTTTATTCTCTTTGAGACAGGGTTTCCCTGTAGCCTCAGCTGGCCTGGAACTTGATATATGAACCAAATTGACCTTGATCTCACAGATACCCACCTGACTCTGCCTCCCGAGTGCTGGGATTAAAGTCTACAACTGCAAATTTTAAATGTCCAAACCTAATCTGCTCCTCAGGTAAAGCACCACGTCTAGACAGGACTTCACCAACGCTGTGGATTATTCACTACAGGGCTTTGGTTCCATTTAACCCTATTTAACTCTGAGGCTACTGGCTTTGCAGCTAAGGGAGGGTCTTCAAATTCCACAGCAGACCACATGACTTTGCAGTCTTTCCTGCAAGAGCTGTCAATGGCATTTCTCCATCCCCCATGTGACCTGCATTAAATGTCAGAGTCTCCCACCTCATATACTACATATTTCTTTCTCTTTTAGAAAGAAAACAGGTTGATGTGGTGCCCAGCAAAGGGCAGTGGGCTGGGCAGCAGCAGAACTGCCCAGAGCCAACACTGCACATTCTAGCTTGCCCTGTGGAGCTCTTACTATTGCCTCAAGAACGTGCTCTGTGCCATGCAACTGTCCCAGGAGGATGAATCTATGTAGAAGAAAGCTGCTTCCATTTAAGTTCTATAGCCAAGCCCAGAACGAAGCCCACAGACTCATAAGAAAGCCTAGCCAAGACTGAGCGAGGCTAGCTGAAACCTGTCAGTTACCAGAAAACACACCATATGGATGCTACAATAGTAAGCTTTTATAGTTCTACGGCTTTGCATTCTGGGTTCATTTGTTACACAGCAATACCTAACCAATGCAGACCAAAGCTTAATGCAAAGTAACTTCTGGTCACCAAGAGTCTGGTGACACACCATCTGTAGTTGGTCTACATCCAGTTCTGGGGGTCTACACATGACGGGGTTCCCAATGAGAGCAGCACTCTCTTACCCCTTAAGAGCTTACCTGGGTTTGCTTCCAGCCCAGAGGAGGCTTTGCAGGCAGGACTCCCTACATTGGCCAGCTCCAGGGAAGAATTTGGATTGTATGACAGCGGCCGAGCCACAGGAGGAGGATTGATCACTGCCCCAAAGAGAAGCAAAAGAAGGTGTCAGGGGACCCCTTCCTTAGACAAGAAGCCGAGTACACGAGACTGTCAGGCCATCAAGGCAGTCGACAGGAATGGGCTGTAGCTCCCTGAATAGGTTTAAGCTACATCTGAATCCACATAGAAAAAAATAACGCATAAATAAAAATGAAGGCAAAGTTCATTCATATGGAAAAATACTGGCAAATAAATAAATTTGCTTTAAAAAATCTAATCGATAAAAATAAACTAATAAACAAATCACCATTTGGCGGTCATGGTGATAACTGCGTGTGGAGGTTAAACCTTCTGAATGCTATTGACAATAAAGGAATATTTACATAGTTTATACCAGTTCCCCATGAAGAACATTTCCTGAAGTGGAAAAAGCCAGAGGACGCTACATTAACCATGTGATCAAATCCCACAGGTGTCAGCAGTAGACAAGTCTTATCCTGAGACTCCAGCGCTGATGGAAAACTGTCAGTAAACTACAACACTGGGGGCTAGAGAAAGGGTCCAGCGGTTAAGAGCACTGGCTGCTCTTGCAGAAAACCCAGGGTCAAACTGTAGCACCCACATGGCAGCTAACAACCATCCTTAACAGGAGATTGACGCCTCTGACCTCCACAGGCGCTGCCCGACACGGGTGCGCTTACACTGATGCAGGCATAACACTCATACACATGAAATAAAATAAACAAAAGACATTAAACTACATCACTGACACAAGCAGCAAAATCAGATCACATTGTATCCAGATTAAACTTCCTGGCTTCAATGTGGACACGCTGGTTCTATGAAAGAAAATGTCCTTGCTCTAAACTGAGTCAGTAACTGGGAACAGTTAACTGTCAAATAATATATAATTTACCAAAAGCGGTAGTTTAAAATGAAAATCGGTCCCCATAGGCTCAAGTATTTGAACACTTGGTCCTCCATCTGTCGTGCTGTTTGGGGAGGTTATGGAACCTTCGGGAGGCAGAGCCTTGCTGGAGGAAGTGTGTCACTGGAGGTGGGGTTTGAGTGTTTATAGCCTCACCCCCACTTCCTGCTTTTCCCCTCTGCTTCCTGTGGGGGTGGGTGAAATGTGATCTCTTAGTTTCCTGTTGTCCCCTTTCCCCATTATGGATGCCCCTCCTGGAACCATAAACCAGAACAAACTTCATCACAGCAGAAAAGTACTGCAGTGGGATGGGAAGTGTGTGTGTGTGTGTGTGTGTGTGTGTGTGTGTGTGTGTACACACTTTTCTACCAGGTGACAGTGGGGGGGGGCAATAGGTTAAGTATGCCCGTCCCTAAGACTGGAATTCCTTGTTTTAGTCCGGTAAACCCACTGTTAAATCTGTAGGTTTCCGTTACACATCGTAGGATGTTACTGTGCTGAGTGTACTACTGATCTGTAGCTAAAAAGGAGAGAGGCTGTGAGGGAGCAGTCATTCTGAGTAACGCCCGCCACAGACAGGACGCGTGTGGCAGCAGGGATGCCAGAGAGGCGGTGCACCGAGGGTCCTGTGAAGTCTCGGGTGTCTCTGCAGGCAACGTTCCCAGCAGCCAAGCGGGGATGGAGTGAGCTAGCCATGCAAGTGAGCCACCGACCCGCCCACTTCTAACCACGGAGCACTTGGGTCAAATCGGCGGCACCTGCACTGCCAGGTACTTGGCAGGAAGGTGCTTCAGCCCCGGAGTTTGGGGCTTGTCTGGGTGACACAGCGAGACTACCTCTCCAACCCCTGAACGAAGACTCGAAGTGCCCTAAGGGCCAGGCTCTGTGCTCATTCTTCAAACTCAGTCTTGAATTTCACAGTGTGATGGGGCGATGTGAGCAGAGGAAACACTGGGGAATCCAGAAGATACAGGAGTACCGTGCAAAACCACAGAGCCAGCACTGTGAGTCATTTACCATGGGCATGGGTGTGCAGACATGCCAATTAGGGTGATTACACTCTTCTTACCCCCAAAGAACACACTGCAATTACAGTAGAGCAGGAGATGACAGTGCACTTCTGACAGCCTCATGTAACACCAGGGTGTATGGTCCAGCTCAAGGACAACCTGAGCCACACAGACCACCTTTGCCTTTGCCACCCTGAGCTATGGGTACCTGACCACAAGCTGAGCAGAAGGGGAGGGGTTTAAGCAGGCAAAGGTCAAAGGGAGTTTTCATACACACAGGGACACTTTTCAGAGTGCTTCTACCAAGGAATTAATTAGTGACAATCACCATGTCAAAACTCACAGTACACTGTAAGAGAGAGCTTTACTGCATGTAAATCATGACCCATTTTGTTTGTTTGTGAGACAGGATCTTGCTATGTAGACCAGGTTGGCTCACAGAGTGATCCACCTGCCTCTGCTTCCCAAGTACTAGGATTAAAGGCACGCACCATGACACCTAGATATGCTTCTTTTTATTTTTTTAAGTGAGAATAAAATTACCTTTCTTGGACTTTGTGACGCCACAAGGTCTTATATGACTAGTGAGTTAGAGTGCTAAGAAAACTCTTGGCATCAAAGTTGGGATTTGTTTTGTTTTGTTTGAGACAGGGTCTTGCTATGTAGCCCTAGCTCATTGGGAACTTACTAAGTAGACTAGGCTGGTCTCAAATTTATAGAGATCCACATGCCTCTGCCTCTGTCTCCTGAGTGCTGAGATTAAAGGCATAAGCCACCACACCTGGCCAAAGCTGGGAACTCTTGCCAGACTTCTCCACCCAGTCTTCCTGGTGTCAAAGGCAAGAATTCAGATGATCTTGCTGGGGTCCCTGAGACTCCAAAAGGGCATCAGTCTCCCTACTTCACAAGCACCAAAAGGTGCCACTAGGTAACTAAAGACAGCAGCAAGAACACCCCAGCCCAGCTGGGAAGTATTCCACACCCTGAGACCAGGACAACCCTCTTCCATTCACCATCTCAACATTATCTCCGTAGTAAACTAACTCATGAAACAGAGATAAAAAGGCCAGACTGAATCTTGAGTCCAGGACATTCCTCATCATTGACTACTGTTGTGGTGTGAATGAGAAAACATCCCCATAGGCTCAGGAACGTGAGTACTTGATCCCCAGTTGGTGGTGTTGTTTGGGGGGGTTATAGAACCTTTAGGAGGTAGAGCCTTGGTAGAGGAAGTGCATCACTGGAGGTGGACTTTGAGGTCTTATAGTCTGGTTCTATTTCTGTTCTCTCTCTCTCTCTCTCTCTCTGTATCTCTCTGTCTGTCTCTGTCTGTCTCTGTCTCTCTCTCTCTCTCCCTCTCTCTCTCTGCTTACTGTGTGAGAATGCTGTGTGAGAACTAGCTTCCTGCTCCAGGCACCATGCCCACCCGTTGCCATGACTGCCCCATGATGGAGTCCGTCCCTTTGGAATTATAAACCAACATCAACCCTCTCTCCCTAGGTTGGTTTTGTTGTTCTTGCTTCTTGCTTTGTTTTGTCACAGTATTTTATTACAGCAAAAGCAAAGAAAATATTACAGCTAACAGAAAAAAGCCAGCATCTCACTGCAGACTGAGGTGCCTGGGATTTCACCCCTCACATTCCCACCCCTATTAAATCGCACTGCGCAAATGAAGCCCTCCTGTAGTTACTGTGACTTGAACTATTCTGCTTGCACTTGCACTGCTAGCCACAGAGCCACGGTGGCAGGATTTGGGCCGGCACCCACTTCCTCTTCTTGAATAGGGACGCAAGACCTGTCTGTCCTAGTCATCCATTTTCTGATAAAAATAAATAAATAAATGCAAAGTGAGCTACAACTAGCACTCCATCTTGCCCTTCCAGGTTGCTCTCTGATTTATCAAAAACGGAAATGTACCTGTTTGGATTCCTAGCTGGCTGGTTCTAGAAGCCGAGAGAAAATCCGGATCCCAGATCGGCGAGTTTTGACTATATACTTCTTCTTCCAACATGGACAAAAACCTAGACACACAAACAAGAATTTAAAATTAAAAACAGATCAAAAATAACCCACTAATGTATTACCAGAAGACAAAAGCCTTAGTTACCTACAGAACCACCTTAGCCCCAAGGTTTCTGTGGCAAAATATACTAGAGAATTGACTCAAGTGGCGACTTAGTTGGGCTGGCACAGTCAGACACAGAAATGCAACACTACAAACTTACCTCCTTTTAAGATTTTTTAAAATTTTTATCTATTTTTATTATCTGTGTATGATTATACTGCCTGCATGTATGTAAGTGCACCCATGTCATGCAATGCCTACAGAGACCAGAAGAGGTCATTGGACCCCCTACAACTGGAGTTATGAATGGCTGTTAGGTGCCATGTGGGCGCTGGGAACTGAAGCTGGGTCCTCTGCAAGAACAGTCAGTGTTCTTAACCATTAAGCTATGTCTCCAGTCGCAGATTTTTTTCAGCGTGCGTGCATGCGTGCGTGTGTGTGTGTGTGTGTGTGTGTGCGCGCGCGCGCGCAACCACACGTGTGTATGTATGTATAGATGCCTATTGAAGCCAGAAGAGTGTGTCAAACCCCCTGGAGCTGGAGTTACATGAGGTTGTAAGCTGCCTGACACAGGTGTTGGGAACCAAACTTGGGTCTTCTGCAACAGTGACAAGCACCCCTAACCAGTGAGCTGTCTCTCCAGCCTCAGATTTATCAGCTTTTTTAAAAACTATTTTATTATTTTTATTTTATGTGTATGAGTGTATTGCCTACATGTGTGTAAGTGCACCCATGTCGTACAATGTCCGAGAAGGTCAGAAGAAGGAATTAGATTCCCTGGAACTGGAGCTACAGGTGGTTGTTAACCACGATGTGGGTGCTGGGAATCAAACCCGGGTCCTCTGCAAGAGCAGTCAGTGCTCTTAACTGGTGAGCCATCTCCCCAGCCTGATTTATCAGCTTTTAACTCTGCATAATTTGGTAGGGCATGGGCCACAAGGTGCACCCACCCCATCAGTGGGAATGTGTCAGTGCTCTTTAGCGGGGCTCATGGCACAATTCCAGCTCTCCACGGCACTGTCCTTGGCCTTACCGCCAATGTGGCTAACGTGGATCAAGTGCCTGCTCTGCCTGGGCAGCTCCCAGAGCCTCTCACTGAATCCCCCATCAGTTCAGTGCCCAGGATATTTCCTTACCACACACCTGTACCCAGCTCTTGCCACTTGACAGCCCTTAGAGGGGTTGATGATACACATTACTGAACTGGACCCTCATAAATACACTGAAATGGGATCCATTCCTGCACCAGTGTCACAGATGGAAAAGCCATGGCACAGAGGGGCTAAGAAAGCACTCCAAATTCCCACAACTACTAAACAGCAGGGCCAGAGTTGAGGTCTGAGATAAATAAGTCACTTCCTGCTGTGCTATAAACCAAGTAGATCACAAGTTTTAGAGACCAACGGAAATGGACCCCCAGTCTCAACACCACTTTTTTTCTCTCTAATTCAAAGAGAAGAAATAAAACTATCTAAAATGTTTAGAATCTAGGACTCTGGAGGCTGAGGCAGGAGGATTGTGAAACTGAGTCCAGCTTGGGTTATACAGCAAGCTACTGACGTGTTCCCAGAACAAAAGGAAAAAACATTTTTAATTAAAAACAAATTAGTTCAGAGCAGTAAGGGTGTGAGTACCCTTTTTCTTATTTTTATTCTCTAAATCAAGCTTTTTTTCCCAGCATGTCCACTTTAGAATGAGGATACTAAACTTTAAAAAAAAAAAGGAGCTGAGGTGGGTGTGGTGGTACATGCCTGTAATCCCAGCGCTTGGGATAAACTGAAGGATCAGGAGAGGCCAAGGTGGCTCGTGACTTCCCAGGAAAGGAAGGAGGGAGGGCAGGAGGGAGGAACGTGAGAAGGAGTGAAGTGGAGGGAGGAAGGAATCTTGTAATAATCATAATCTTGTAAGAAAAGGCACAAGTTAAAGCCAAGAGAAGCCATGTCAGGTAATACCAGTCTGTAATCCTAGCTACTAAGGAGGCTGAGGCAGAAGGATCACAAGTTCAAGGCCAAGCTGGGCAATTTAGCAAGGGACTCTATATTTAAAAAACAAGCATCCAGGCATGGTGGTGCACGCCTGTAGTCCCAGGACTTGGGAGGCAGAGGCAGGCGGATCTCTGTGAGTTCAAGGCCAGCCTGGTCTACATAGTGAGTTCCAGGACAGCTGGGGCTACAGGGAGACCCTGCTTCAAAGAGACAGAAAAAAAACAAGCACTGGGGAATGGGGGCACTGACAACACAGCGGACAGTTAACAGATGACAGAGTATGTGGGCTCCAGTGTGTGGGAGGGGGAAGGCTATGGGAGGGTACCATTTGGGAACTGGGTATATAGATGGATAAGATTGTGTGGGATTTTCTGTATGAGATAGATACACACAAAAAAAATCAAATTAAAATCAAAGACATATTTGAGGAGGAAGCATAAAAATATACTTCATGTTAAATAGTAGAGGTGATAAACATTACCAGTGAAATCTACCTGATGACTTTACATCCATACTCAGGTACTAAGGATCTGAGTGTAACCGACTGACATACATAGAGATTAAAGACACATGTGCAAACATCTAAGTGTTTAAAATGTAGGAAACCATATTTTAAAATGAAATGGAGATCTTCTTTAAAGGGTAGAAACTCATTCAATTTTATGTCTTACAGGGTTTATACTGAGTTCAATATTGTATGACTGTATTAATTCAACTGTGAACCTAAAAATTTACAGCCACTTTTGAAAGAGATGTATCCCTGCTCTGGAGTGTGTTACTGAATATGTTAAAGCTGTAATAAAATGCTTCTTCTAATCATGCAGTTATTAAATAAAAAAAAATGAAAAAAAACAATAAAACAACAACAAAAGACAGGACAAAAGGGCGGAAAGCCTGGACATACAGCTCCAAGGTCGAGAATGTGCCTGTCATGTACACAACCCTAGCTTTAATCCAGGTGCAACAAAATAATTTAATTTAAAATTTAATGAAGCCAGTCAGGGAAGAAAAGGCCTCATACGCAGGCAGGAAGAAACGCCTGTGATGCGGTTTTCCCTCCGAACAAGTAGCCCAAGCTCACACAGCGGCCTCAGACCTCGGTTTGAGTGCTTCCCCTGCCAAAATGGCAGGCATAAATCCCCAACAGCCTCAGATGGTGCCAGACTCCATGAAGACGGACTTAGAAGGAGAAGCGGGTGGTCGCCTGATGCGGTTTTCCCTCCGAACAAGTAGCCCAAGCTCATACAGCGGCCTCAGACCTCGGTTTGGGTGCTTCCCCTGCCAAAATGGCAGGTATAAATCCCCAACAGCCTCAGATGGTGCCAGACTCCATGAAGACGGACTTAGAAGGAGAAGCGGGTGGTCGCACCCCACCATTAGTAACAGAGGAGAAAGAAGGGCGGCCTTGATTTCTCAGATCAACAGCACAAGCATGTCAGAACTACCAGCTGAGGAAAAACACACTGTAATTAGTGAGGAGCAAAATGAATTTGCTAGGGGAAAAAACTGTTACTATGAAAAGTCATGAAAATATCTCCATTAGCACCATAGACATGTGGGTGCCAGGGTCCCTCTTTACCCCACCACAGAGCCGACTAAATGCAAAATGCAGAAAATGCGACACACCCAGATGTGTGGAGATTCAGGCAGGTGTCAGGTAGTTGGTTCGAGTTCCTCAAAATTACCGACGGCATTTTCTATGTCAGCCTTTGGATTCAGATTCCAGTCAGGAAGTGGTCAGTCAGTTTCTATCAGAAAACCATCTTCAGGCTGGAGACACAGCTCAGAGGTTGAGAGCACTTAAGAGCTCTTGCAGAGGACCCAGGTTTGGTTCCCAGCACCCACATGGCAGACAACAACCATCTGTACCGCCAGGGGATCCGATGCCCTCTTTTGACCTCTGCGGGCACTGCACCATGGAGGTGCACTTACATTTATGCGAGCAACACATTCACGCACATAAAAAAATAAAAATAACAAAATACAGAAAACTATTGTTTTATCTAACTAATTTTTTAAAAGATTTATTTCATTTTTATTTTATATGGATGCATGTTCTGCCTGCATGTATGCATGTACACCATGTGCACACCTGGTACCCACAGAGCCAAAAGAGGGCATCAGTTCCCCCAGAACTGTGGTTACAGGAGGTTGTCAGCCACCATGTGGTTGCTGGGAACCAAACTTGGGTCCTGTAAGAGCCATCTCTCCAGGCCCTGCTTGGACATTTTCATCTGAAAGATTATGCCTGCTTTAGTGCCCAGAGCAGCGCACAAGGGCCAGAGGGCCACGCACATTCTACAAGCAACAGTCCAGCCACACAAATCTTAGATGAAGGAAGTTCGCACACCAGCCCTGCTCTAGCAGGCTACTTCCAAAGGGTGAGGATCAGGGTAAGGAGGCAGGTGCCTCACCAGGGTTAAGAGAAGGCTGAAAAACAGACCGCCTGAGTTCCTGCAACCCCTGAGTGGACAGACATGCACCCCCATTTCTTCCCCACCTTCCTTTAGAGTTCTGGTGACTGAGTTCATAAAGCGAAGCACTGGGAGAGCCTTTGGCCTCCCAACAGTCAGGCACAGCGGGAGGAGGACTTAGCCCTTACTGATGAACTAGGGAGGGAGCCCGCTGTTTTCAGTTGAGCGCCTACTGATGAATGCACCAGGCTCGTGGACAGTTTCAATTCCATGACCACACGATGGCTCTGGCAGAACCCAGGGGATGCTAATGAGACTAAAAGATGCAAATGTGCAAAGGCGCTTACTAGTGAGGGAGGGACAGAGAGCAGGGAGCGGTCAGAACGTACTGTAGTCGTGTATGAAACTGTCAAAGAACAATCGAATTATTTTAAAGACAAGTGCTGGTTTCACTACATGGAGCCCAGAGACAGCAGGCCAGGTTGGGTGGGGGGCAGTAACTGTGGTGACAGAGTTAAGTCAATAAACGGACTGGAAAACCCCCAAGATGACTCTCCAGGAACTGAGCCTTCTCCCTCCTCTTAGGATGTGTTCTCTGACAGTCGTGGTTTTGGTACTTAAGCAGGCTTTCATGTGTACTTAGCAACCTCAGGTCCCAAGATCAAGCCAAGCCCCGCAGTACCCAGTCCCCCACTTACTTCGGGAAATGTGTGAGGATCAGAGTGCGTTTCTCAAGGGGCAACTTGTCTTTTTCCTGTCTGGCTTGCTCGAGGAGTTGTCGTCTCATGATGGTGAAGACAGAACGAAGCAACGTTCTCCCGAACACCTTGGTGGTCTCGTACCGAGGCAGGCTGTCACAGAACTGTGGTACATTGCAGTAACACAGCCACCTGCAACAAGAGGAGACTGGCACTGTCACTATCCCGTCAAGCCTCAGTCATCAAAGCATCCAATCACAGCAACTCTCACAACCCAGATTCCGTTCAGCCATCGGGCAGGGAGTCCTGGAACACGATCCTGCTTTGCCACTTGCCTGCTACATGGAATTACGCTATTCAGCCCCCGCTTTCTTACCTGTAAAATAGGGACAATAGTCACAACTAGGTCACTGGAGTCTCTGTAGAATGAGATGCCAAGTAAGGTGAATAGTACGGTTTAAGTTCATGGCACATAAATGGTGGTTTCGGGGAAATACAGACCAGGAGTGATGCCTCACGCCTGTAATCCCAGGACTTCAGTGCTGGGGTTAAAGATATGTGTTACCATGCCCAGCCTAATTTATTGTTTTAATGTAGGAACTAAGAAGTGTAAAAAAAGTCACACCTGTGGTTTGCATCTGGGGTCCACACCTGTATCTACAGAGCAGCACTGACCTGAGGGTCTAAAGAACATTTCCGGGCATCTGATATTCCAAGTGGGATAGCATTTCTACCACAGAGATAAGTCATAAATGTTATCATAAAATCATAAAGTTTTATCTGAGAATATACAACAGGTCGTTCCCTCCTTTGAGGGTGAAGGAAGCCAACACAGATAGTTACTATCTAGTAAAAACCTTCAAATACTAAAGTCTCATTCATTTCCTCTGAGAGGCATTTCGGAGACCTGAGTTCAAGCTTTTCAGTTTTATTTTTACTTCTAAGATGAATCTTATTTTGTAATCAGTGCACAGTAGACAAAGACACATCAGTATGATGTGCAGAGGGGGGCACTGTGTTAACAAACTTAAATGGGACCCTTAAATGTAGGAAACAAAGGAGGGGGAACTGGACGTGTGGTCTCTCTCCCAAACAGAAGTGAGATGATGTGCCTGCCTCAGAGACAGTATCTGTGAGCCACTAGCTGGCTCAGATACCTCTTACAGCATCGTGAAATGTTCAACTTTCATTAAAATGTGAGCAGAGGACTGGAGAGATTGCTCTGAAGTGAAGAGCTCTGATGCCTTGCAAAGGACCCAGATTCAGATCCCAGCCCCCACATGCCGAGTCCCAGGGGATCCCATGGCCTCTGTGGTCTCTGAGATCCTGCACACACAGTGCACACATGCTCACACATGCTCACACATGCTCACACACATATATATAAAATAAATAAATCATTTTTAGAAATGTGAACAGAATTGTAAACTTTGGCAGAAGACCATGTCATGTTGCTGCTGCACTAAATATCCAGTTTGGGGAATTAACTCTCCTAATTTACCAGAACTAAAAGTTAGACCATATGAAGTATTCCAATCGAGAAATCAGAAATTCCTCAAAATCTAAGGCCAGGCATAGTGGCGCATACTTTTAATCCCAGCAGAGGCAGGTGGAGCTCTGTGAGATGGAGGCCAACCTGGTCTACATAGCAAGTTCTAGGCCAGCTGGGGCTACAGAGAGACCTCGTCTCAAAAAAAAAAAAAAAACTAAAAGTTTCAAATATTGGGATTAAAGATGTTCGTGTAAAGTCTATGTAAATATTCCCCAGTCTCCAAAATCCTAGAGTCTGAGCTACTTCCAGCCAGGAGCATTCTAGATAAAGGATATTGAACCTGTGCTGGAGACCACACTAGGGGCTCGGTCTCCTGTCTCCTAGGTTACTGAGCTTCTGTGTTCTTTCATAAATATTCCCCAGTCTCCAAAATCCTAGAGTCTGAGCTACTTCCAGCCAGGAGCATTCTAGATAAAGGATATTGAACCTGTGCTGGAGACCACACTAGGGGCTCGGTCTCCTGTCTCCTAGGTTACTGAACTTCTGTGTTCTTTCATAAATACTGTTCTAGAGTCCCATGTCTAACTAGGTAGGAATGCTCTGAATAAGCATGGCAACAGGCTCTATGTCTCAATGACTACATAGAGCCCCAGTCAAGGAACTACATCTAACTTGCTCTGTACCCTTGCTAACCTTTTCCCAAATGTGGGAGTAAGCTTGAAGTTACAGAAGTTCACACAAGTCAAAACCTAACACTGGCACATGCTGAGATCTTATCTTAAAAAAGAAAAAAGAAGGGGGCTGGAGAGTTGGCTCGGTGGTTAAGAGCACTGACTGCTCTTGCAGAGGACCCGGGTTTGATTCCCAGCACCCACATGGCGGCTACGAAC